CTGACAGAATCTAGAGAGTAGTAAGTTGATAATTCCAGCTTTTTCAAGTGCCTTATGGCTTTCTTTGTTTTAATTTTATTACAATGACAGAATCCAGAGAGTAGTAAGTTGATAATTCCAGCTTTTTCAAGTGCCTTATAGCTTTCTTTGTTTTAATTATATTACAATGACAGAATCCAGAGAGTAGTAAGTTGATAATTCCAGCTTTTTCAAGTGCCTTATAGCTTTCTTTGTTTTAATTTTATTAAGATGAAATTGAAATTTGAAATGAAGAAAGTTACACTGATAATTCTGCAGGTATTTTTGTTCTAATATGTCAAAACAAATTGTATGTATTTTGCATTTGGTTTCCTGTATACTGAAGAAATACATTTATCTTGTATACTTTCTTATGCAGAAGTTATGATTATATTGTTAGAATAGTTAATTTCATGCTAATATTTCAACCAAACATGTATATTGTTTTAGTAATAGAAAATTTCAATTCTTAAACTAATTGTTTTGGGATTACCTTTTTATGTTCGTTAATGTTTATCTTCTAGCTGGACACTAAGTATATACACCTAACTTACTTGAGTCTAGAACTGATAGGATGGTCTTCTAAAATTATAGCTGTTTCGGAAAAAATGAGAGAGAAAATTACCTAGGTAGTTTTAATTATACATTTTAAAATAAATAAAATTATAGAAGCAAATGGCAAATTAGGAGTTATTTCTTTATAGCAAAAATCTGATTTTGTAAATGGTTTGAATAAAAAATGATAATTACAATTACAAGGTAATGTTCACACCATCACGTGTGAAGAATAAAAATACTTTTGTCTATCATACAGTTTGCACATTGCATTTGCATTACATCTAGAACTTTTGAAATCCGTATCTACAGTGTTTTTCTTTCAGTAACCCTGTATATTTTATCTGGTATTTACTCTCCTTTACCATGAAGAATTTTTATATCAGCAATGTAAGGTAAAATAAATAGTTGAAAACTATGACATTAAATGCATTATACCATGTTGAATGGCACTCTGTAGAATCTCATGACATGCACTTTAACCCCCACTTGTACACATGGTGAATACAAATGTTAGGCCTGTTGGCTTCTAATAGTTTAACTTTTGGCATTTAAACTGTTACTTTTAAGAGTGAAAAAGTTTCTTTAGTATAATTTGGCTGTCAGCAGTGGGGTAACTGTAAACTTTATTAATCTAGGTGTTTGTGATCTAGATATACCAGTTTCCACCCGAATCAAGGACTTTTAACTTTTGTGTATTAGTTGTAACAAAAACACTTATATGTAGTTAAAGTGAGATTTGATATTCAAAAATAATTGAAAAGAAGACCTGACACCCAAGATTTATATATAGAAATTGGACATGCATATTTATCAACATTTAACATATGAAATAATTATGTTGTTGCTAATAATAATCCCAAACTTACTAGGGGTAAAAAACAACAAGAACTATCTGTTATTGATTATAGTATTTTGGCATTTGTGAATAAAGTTAAAATCATAAATAATATTCAATGTTAAACTGGTACACAATCTATGGCCTTCAAAAAGTTGACGACTCTACATGTTTCGACGTTACATCCTGAGGATGACGTCTGCTTTATTATTTTCAAGAGTTGTATGTTCATAAATTACCATAATTGAAAATAAAAACTTGTTTGTTTTATCAGAGTAACCATTATATGATATCCACAGTATTTCTCAGTTAAACAACACAGTAATTCAGATAGTGTAGTTAAAAATGGGAATCCAGAACATATATGATTTATTCCTAATGTCAATTGTATTACAGGGATTACAGAGCAAAAACTTGCCACCTTTGGTAAAATGCTATGGATTCTTTGAAATGTTAAAACTTTGTCCTAACTGAAATGTTGTTGATTTTATGTAATTCAAAACAGAGCAATTAATATGTTCTAAATTTCAATAGAGTACTTAATAATTAGTAATAGCATGACTTTTAAAGATGGACGGTAAACCTACAACTTAAGTAAAGATTGGTGAACATGTATTTCTTTACGAAATTTTTTAAACAATAAGGAAATGTTCGCTCTAATGTAGGATTACTTTAACCGTAAAGGTAATGATTTTTGTACACTAATAAGTCTGAGACCAATTTATTTACTTAAGTTTTGCAGAAACTTTATGTGTTGATATGTTTGGGAAGTACCTAAGGCTTTGCTAAAAAATTCTCTTTTTAGTTGTATGTTTCAATGAAATAGTTATCAAGCTAGACCCATTTTTCATACGAAGATAAAATTAAAATGTTTGAAAGGCTACTCTTGTTTGTAAATTTGTTTAGTTGTATTGAAAGTTATAATAATGCAATGATTAAAACGAATTATTTCCAAATATAATCTTTTGAATCATTTTCTGAAGTAAAGTATTGCTTTATTATTTAATTTATTTTTTAGTTCTCAAAATTTAGTAAATGTAAACTTATTAACATATACTTAAATACATTTCACAAAAGAGTAGGACCTGATAAACATGCAGATTGTCACTGTACTAAATGATTGCCTATTAGTTTTTTTGTAAACATAGGACCTATAAATCAGCAATTCCTATACATTAAGCTTATCAGCTTAGTTTTCCATTTTTTTTTTTTTTTTTTTTGGAACTGGACTGTGGACAATCGAGATAACTTTTCAATTTTCGTTTAAATGAGAGTGCTATAAATACTTTTACAAAATCAATCTTTAGTCCACATGTGAATATACCAGGTTTATGTTCTGTAATTTAGATAGAGTAATAAAATATACTTGCTTCAAATTGACAATGTAAAATTTAATAATAGCAAGGGGAGACTGAAGAAGATTGATGCAAAGAATCTAGATGATCACTTATCTTTAATTCTTATGAAAATTGATTACAGAGGATTTAAAAATGAGTTTTTTCTTTTTCTTTTAAGTTTGAGACAGCAAAAGGTTGTTTTAATATGTAGTCATCTCAAGAAAAAAACCCACTAATTTTCTCCAACATGTTAATGTTCTAAATGTCATGTAACCTTGTTTCTTTCCTATAGAAGAAGCTTCAAATTATAAATGCTCAGTCATAATTCAAATGTTCTAAAATTGTATCTGCATTTAGTGATATTTTTTAAAATTTCAACAGTAAAATTAACATATTAGTGGGATATGACTAATTACACAGATATCAACAGCTTATCTTTTTTAACTGTTGAGACATTAGGGACTATTTTTACAGTGTTTAACACGGATGTCATGAACAGACAAAACTAATAATTGTTGGGTGACGTTGAACATTTCTGTTGTATAAAGATTGCCTTTTTATGTCCTATAGATGTTCAAACACTGGATACCATTCAGGCTTTGTGTCTTCCCCTTGGAGCATCAGTGTCTCTTCTCATTATGTTCTTTTTCTTTGATTCCATGCAGATGCTCTTCGCCATTTGTACAGCCAGTAAGTATTCTAAAATTATCAAGTTGACTACCTCAAGTCTAATAAATTTATCTGATAGGAGAATCATAAATATTTATCAATACAATGCTCTACTCCTCCTACCTTTTTTTTAAAATTGTATCTTAAGGTAGATCTTAGAATCGAGGGATATTTGGTTGATAAGTTGAAATGAAAATTGTTCCTTTATAAAGAACTTTCTTTACAAACTTGAAGATTAAACTTGGTTGATCTTCTCTAATTGTAAACACAATTTAAAATATAAAAATTCTTAAAGTAGGAGACTTTACATCATGATGATCAACTCTCGGTTATTATTAACTAACAATTCTGTATGGTTGTGTTTTTTTTTGGTAATTTGGTAACTCGAAGGTTTGTCCTTAAAAAGTCATAGAAGATATATGTTTATTAGTGTTTCTAAAATTATGCTCTGCTCTTGACAGATTTTCTGTGCAATTTTTTAATAAGTTTAACTACTTTACCTTGAAGATAATTAATTTGTCAGAAAAAACACAAAGCTGTAGTTACAATTAAGTGACCCCAGTTTCCATACATCCATTCTATTAAAAATGTAACTCCAACTTTGTAATGAAGATGGCAAATGTAGTCTTTGCTTTAAGAATCGGTTGCTTTAAGACAGAGTTTTTTCACAGTATATGTGAAAATATATATATATATATATACGGTTATTTTTTTTTTGCTATGAGTTTAGTTAAGAGAGTTTATAACTATGAAATGAGAGTTGTCAGATGGGAATGAAGAATAAAAGATTGTCACTCTGCATAGATTCATGTTTAATTTTATTCTTATCATTTTCAGTTATTGCTACTATTGCTTTGGCTTTTCTCTTGCTACCAATGTGTCAGTATATCATTAGGCCATGTTCAGATGGAACCAAGTAAGTGAAAACAAACAGTTAACTACAAAAGCTAGTTACCTTATTTATAGAATTTAAAGACCACTGTATTTGAATGCTTTAAACTTGCTAGTTTCTTATGAGGCATATAAAATATAGATGACTTATTAAAATCGTTATTGTTCTAGTATAGTGGACCTATCTGTGGATCAAAAAAGTCCAAGTTTTGAACTGTGACATGCTGTTTAATGTATTCTGCACTTTCAGCTCTGTGGGCACTACAACTGCGATAGCAATTTCCAATAATTGGGTCCCCCGATGAGACAGTGGTAAGTTTATGGACTTACAGTGTGAAAATCCAGGGTTTGATTCCCTGTGGTGAACCCAGCAGATAACCCAACGAGGCTTTGCTCTACAACAATTAAACAACACACTATTTGTTGTAGGTAGTGAGCAGTAATTATTGACCAGTTGCCCTACCTCTGGTCAGCAGTTCACAATTACACATGGTTGTACATGAACCTTACGGGTTTCTGACTTGGCCGTTCAACCTATATGCCACATAAAATTCTATTGAAATTAAAAGTACCAAATACTTGATAGTGCCTTAATGTTCAATAGGGGATTATTATTGAAGTATTAAACATTTTTTGAATGTATTAAGTTATTACAAGTGACATTTCTGAATTGCTCACGAGTTTTTTTTCCCACATCATAGTAAATTTTAATCTCAAAAGAAATATTACTTCAAAAAGGGAATCAAAGTAAAGATTGCAAAAAAAGTCTGTTTTCATACCATATTTCCATGAAATATACAAAAAAAACAACAGTCTTGCTACAGTTTTCTGCAAGCAACTTGGAAAGTTAAAATGTAAATCTTGAATCTTTTCGAATGTTATTTACTCCATTTAAGGAAACCATGTAAAAAGTTAGATAAATTTCTTCTATGCTAGTACTGTAAGTTGTTTCAAAAATTATACAAGTTAAGTATATCTTTTTGCTTTTACATTAAATAATGCTTATGATTTCAAAAAACAATGTTTCTATTATCAGTTAAAACTTAGAGTTGCGATACTAATTGCTTTAATTTTGGTCATTTTCAGAATATCATTTGGAATCTGTGGAAGATTCACAGCTGGGGAACTAGTTTCATTTGCCTTGTCTGTTACCATTGTTTGTATCTGGGTCCTCACTGGCCACTGGCTACTTATGGATGGTCAGTAATCATGTGTTTATATAACTATTTGTTACATATAGATGGTCAGTAATGATTTTGTGTGCGCATACATTTATAGCATATGGGTAGTCAGTTCTTGTTTTCACATAACTACTTCGTTACATGTAGATGGTCAGCAGTCAGTTTGCGTACAGACTGTGGTATTCCAGGTTTAGAGAAATAATGGCATACAGGTAAATTAACTCTGCATACCAAGATGTTCAACGATTTGACTAGGTCTAGAGTAGAAAAAAAAACGTTTAACAAACATAACTAAGCACCGTTTATTTCATGTTTTGGATACAGTTAGTTACATGCTGAGAGGATGAGGTTGATGTAAATACAAACTGAATTAACTTGACAAATTCTACCTCATCACTTCTTAACTCACTCTTTTTTGTTTTCACTATCGGCTTTACTTAAATGTTATTTCTTGTTTGTTGTTTCTTGGTAAAGCAAAAATTACTAATTTAATTTTTATGTTGTCTTTTGAATTGAGGAATTGTTTCTTCGTACCCAATAAAGCTGAAAATATTTAAAAACTATTACATTGTTCCTTGTTTCTAGCAATGGGTATGGGACTGTGTGTAGCGTTCATTGCATTTGTTCGGTTGCCAAGTCTGAAAGTGTCCACCATGTTACTTACCGGTCTCCTGATTTATGATGTATTCTGGGTAAGAACTTTGTAATTCACTAATATTTTATTATTACAACTTTCTATTGCTTTGAAGTAATAATTATGAAATTACTGACCTGTATAATATTTTCTTTTATAAATAATTGATAGTAAGACTATTTATAAATTTTGTTATGCTTTGAAGTTGGTTGTATTAGTTTGATTTTAGAGACTGGTAGCTAATTTGTCAGTGAAGCGTGTATGCTAACATTCAAAACACTAGACAAACTTACAAACAGTTGTTCTTATAAAATCAAAATAATGATTAGTATGTTGGTCACACAAAGTCAGTTTTAAACTTGTAAGTGTACATATAAATGTTTAATGTAGTAAGAACTTTAAGAAGTAAGTATTACTATGTTTATAACTCATAAAAATAACATTATTAAAACTGAAGTTGAAGTGCAAAGATAAATTTATAGAGATCATTAGAATTCTTTGTTAAATGTTCATTTCTTACAAGTTCTGCATTAAATGTCTTTTTTTTTTTAAGTTAATTTTCTAAAATGTTAAAATTCACAAAATTTTATAAAAACCATACATAGAGGAATGGTTATTTGGTGAGTGGGTGGTATGTGCAATTATAGGAGTAGTTAGCAATTTATGTGTAAATTATATAACAAACATAGGAAGGGGGGCAGGATTGTTAAAATGAGCACAAACCCAAGAGGGGGTTGATGAAGATATTCTTTGTGACTTAGCAGTTTGGGCCCGGCATGGCCAGGTGGTTAAGGCACTTGACTCGCAATTTGAGGGTTGCGGGTTCGAATCCCTGTCACACCAAACATGCTCGCCCTTTCAGCCATGGGGGCATTATAATGTGACGGTCAATCCCACTAATCGTTGGTAAAAGAGTAGCCCAAGAGTTGGTGGTGGGTGGTGATGACTAGTTGCCTTCCTTCTAGTCTTACACTGCTAAATTAGGGATGGCTAGTGCAGATAGCCCTCGTGTAGCTTTGCGAGAAATTCAAAAACAAACAAACGAACTTAGCAGTTTGTTTCATGTACAGGTGTTTGAATTAATATACCAGATTATTTTGCATAATTACAACATATTTTTTTGATATTCATTCACCACCATATCATTGTTTCAGCATTTATTTCTTTTGGATGACTGAATGTTTATTTTTCACTTGCATAGGTACATCTGTATATGCTAGTCTGTACTTTATATCCACTGGTGTTTGAATGTTTATTGGGAAAGTTCTGGAATTAAGAGTGCTCATTGTATGTTACATGTTTTTTACTTCATCAGGTTTTTTTCTCCTCGTATATCTTCAATGCAAATGTGATGGTGAAAGTGGCAACAAGACCAGCTGAAAATCCGGTAGAGTAACGAAAACTTTTAATGTTTCATGATTTTTAATAAAATAAGAATGATAAAAATAAATGTACCTTGTTTTTCTGTCAGTAATCAAGTTCAGTATTTACAGAAATAAGTTCAGATTTATCTTAAAGCCATAAAACATTTTCAATGTTTTATTATCAAATATTATCGCATGTTCATTTAATTCTCTTTAGGTTTACATAATACACTTATCTATTTACGATTATTTGTTTGTGTTAACACAGGATCTCTCCCTCAACCAAAGAAAAAGTAGTTTTTTTTTGGATGGTAGGGCTAGGAATAAGAAATTCCAGTAATTGTTTGTTGGACATGTTGCACACGTTGTTGGAAAGTCTGGAATCTGATGTATCCAAAAATGCAATCCATATGATGGTAATTTATTTCTATCAAGAGTTAGGAGCAGTCACAAACAGGGCATTTTACCACCAATCACCATTATTCACTCGACTACCTGCATGTACTAGGTTCCGAGATATTCAACTTGCAGTCTGTGAAGCTGCTGTGAATGTGATCACGATAGTCCTTTTGAAAAACATTGTTGAGAAAAAATCCACTTATCAAACCCAGAGATGCTGTAATGGCACTCATAAATAGGTTTGGTGCTGACAAGGACAGTAGGGAAAGTAGTAGTAGCCTTCTGCCAAATCACAAGACCAAAAACAAAGTATCCTACCTCAAACAAACAATGAAGAAAAGGTCACATAGAAGAGATATGTTACTGGTAGGGTGGAGTGAAAAGACAAACAATGTTCCATCACGGTCAGTGGAGCTTGGAGCTATTTGCTGAAGATGTATTGGAAACACAGATGCAACAACAGACAACAAAGAAGGAGACTCGCATGACGGACTTATTAGGTACTTGAGAAGAAGTACGTCATTAACTATGGGGTTTTTACTGGTGATATAGCCAGTCTTAGTCACTTTTTGTTCAGTTTAGAAATTGTAATCATCATATCTCTTCACATGCAATATTTTATATATGTTTCATTAAAATTCAATACATCCCAGATTCTTTATGTCCAATTCCTGCTATTGAAGCACCTTTGGTTGGGAGTGAGTTTCTGTGTTAAGCACAAGCTAAAAGAAATCCTGGAAGTGTGATTTATTGCTTTTAATATCAGAGGAATCCTGTTTGTAGTTGACAGTCTTCTAAGCAGAGAATAGAATGAAGCCTTCATCAATACATTACTTAAATTAGTCGTATCTTGAAAAGGTATCTCGTTACTGTCCAACACTTCTATTTCCTGCTGAACCAAACAGAATTGATCATATCATTATATTATACATTCTTTACCTATCTGGTCAGAATATCACCTCCTGTTTATAAAGGGATATAAACAAAATTAATGCACTTTTTATAGAATATCATCTTGCAATTTATCTAAATGACCACTAACTGAACAAATATTATAAATACAGTTTGAACTTTGTACTTAAATGTATAAAATAAAATAATAATTGGCATTAGATTTTATATGGACAATGACAATTTAGAAAGCAAATATTAGCTTGCTTTCAGCTTGCGTTTTAGCTTGCGTTCAGTTTGTTCACCAGTGTATTTATTGTTTACTAAACAATGTTCTAAACTAGGATATCTTAAGATTTTGTTTATAAAAAAAGCCCCATTTTTTACTGGTATTTGTACTTGTGACTATCCATTTATCATTGTTATATCTATACTATCAGATGCTAGAGTATTAAAAAAAAAAATTGAATGATGGGATTTAGGTCTTATATGGGTTTTTGTGTATTGCAAAAGTATAACATTAATGTTTTATATTCATGATCGCTCGAGAAAATCCTCCTTGACTCCAATATTGGGAAAACTCCTCTGAACCATCGTTCAGAAAGTTCAGAAATTTAAAAAATGGTCAAAAATGTTTGGTTTTAAAACATACACCTGGTTGTTACTCTTCTGTGATATTTTTAATATAAATTGTGAAATTTAGTATTTTCAAAAAGAATGCATTAGTATAATGTGAAAAAACATTGAAAATTTCAAAATATGCCACCACACTAAATTAAAATTGGTATTTTTGTAACTTAACTCAGCATTTTTTCTAGAATTTTTAAGGAATGTATGACTATAACAATTATCAAGAATTCTGGCCACCTATTGGTAATAAAAGTTCTTATACAGCTAAGATATCCAATCTTTAACTAGAGATTGGTTGAAACTTCCTATCAAAGATACTTATGAATATTCTTGAAGATTAGATGTATAAAAGTAAAAGAAAGAATTAAAGAAAACAAAACTGGTTTTAATATCCAATGGAAACAAAAACTTGTGTTTTAAATACACACTTTCTATAAGTAGAAGTTAGTACAGCTTACACTTGGTACATGTATTATGTATTAAAACATAAAACCAAGAAATATGAATAAACTATCGGGTGATTTCACATGCACAATTATTATTAAAAGCCGTGAATTTTTTTGTATGAAATATAGTAGTACCTAGAAATAAATAAAATACTAACTGTTTCTGATAATTAGTGAGACTAAATATAAGAATAATGTATACAATTAGAGAATAATATTCCCTGTGCATATAGAGTAGGGTGGATATTTGCACCTCTGAAAGAAAAACTACTAATAGAAATAAAAAAGATGAATTGGAGCATCAAAGAGCATGACAGGTTTAATTCTGATTTGTTGAGGAGCCAGAATATTGAAATACTTTTATTAAAACTTTGAATTAACCTGATGTTGTATACTGGCATTCCTCACACTAACCAAATTAAGAGACTTATTGCAATCTTTTTAAAATATTTCCAATTTTAAATCCATGAGCATTTGGTACCAGAAAAATATTTATAAAAATAAAAGTTGTGAAATATGGTAGTAGAAGGGAGCTTTGGTGACATTTTTATTGTGGGTTATGTATGTAGCCTTGTATTATTTTATTAAAAGTTCTCTCTCAATGGTGGAATTTTGTGCATAAATCTGTAGTTGAATTGATTTTCCTTTTATAGCCATTACAGCTTCTGTCAACTAGATGAAATAAAAGATGTTTATGAAATGTACATTCACTTCCACTAGACAATGTCCTGGGGTGTTGAACCTCAATTTATTCTATTTGATATTTTCATAGTTTTATTTTATATCATACAGATGGGATTAGTTGCTAAAAAATTACATTTGGGTGGAATGATCCGTGAAGCTCCAAAATTGTCACTTCCTGGAAAACTAGTGTTTCCAAGGTAACTTTTATTCAATAAAATTTTATTTCTTTTTAAAAAATGGCCCCATTTGTGGGGCAAGAAAATAACCCAAAATAGACTTCTCAATTGAACTTTCTCAGGGAAACACTAAAAAGCAAAGTTTCTTTTTTTATAGATTTATGTCTGATTGAATTGTTAGATAAGTTTCATATCTGTTTATTTTTGTTTCATTAGAAATCTTCCTCTGTATTATATTTTTTCCTCATAGGCAGCTTAGTACTATAGGTACAGTATTGTTTATAAATTTTCTTAAAATCTTAAGTTACTCTGCAAGCAAAGTGACAAACTGTTATTGTTTGGGTTTAGCTATCTTCACAAATGTATTAGTAAGTGACTGAATTTTCTTAAACCAACTACTTGTGTGATATTACTAATTTTTAAAGTATTTGTATACCAATGTTGGACAAGGATAAATGTTTACCTACATTGTAGTATTCTTTAACAAGTTTCATATTGTTTGTTTTGTGGCCATATTCTGCTTTTTTGAGTATACAGAGGGTTGGGTACATTATACTAAAATGATTTTAAATATGCAAATAAGCAAACCACTTGATGAACATAGCAAATATAAACTAGCAGTGAAAAAGAATGTATCAGAACTATATTTTGACATTGTTGGCATTTCATAGGTAGTGTGATGCTACTGAAAATAGTTTGGTTTTTAGATGAGTATGTAACAGCTCTTTCCAATATAAAAAGAAATGTATACATACATACACACTTAGATCATAAAGATGTGTTCAGATTGGGTATCTAGAACTTCCAAGTTGGAGATATACCTTGTGCTTAATGACATTGGAAAACAAAGAAATATGGATCAACTTGAGGTACCAGGACCATCCAGAAAGAGACCTATAATAAGTTTTACCCCAGCTGTAGTAAGCAAAGAATGGCATTTTGTAACAGAGGTGAGAATCCACAAACACAAAGGTCAGTGGCAATAACCATCCAAGTGCTACAGGAAACAGGATGCAACATAACCAAGAAGGATTTCCATCTAAAAAAACAGCACAAGTTACATCTACATTGGTTGATTCCATAACATATCTGTCGCATGCCTCAAAAAAGCTAGAGAATACAATGATATTCCATATGAAAATATAATAGTAAAGTTGCTGGAAAAAGCTCCCATGGATTTCTGTGCAATTGGGGTTGTGGAAATGGGTACTGAGAAACTGTTGTTATCATACACTAGATGACTTGTACATGGTGTTGTGACAGGGTCTTTTACATTAGATACTATGCTTGCAGAACTATTATCAAGATGCACAGTTGTCAGTTAGAGCAAAACAGGATGAGACAATATGTACTGTAATGATATGGTGTGGCTGTAAAATCGTTTCAATGTAATGTACTCAACCTGTGTAGTTCGTGTACTAATCAACCTGTGTAGTCCGTGTACTACTCAACCTGTGTAGTCCGTGTACTACTCAACCTGTGTAGTCCGTGTACTACTCAACCTGTGTAGTCCGTGTACTACTCAACCTGTGTAGTCCGTGTACTACTCAACCTGTGTAGTCCGTGTACTACTCAACCTGTGTAGTCCGTGTACTACTCAACCTGTGTAGTCCGTGTACTACTCAACCTGTGTAGTCCGTGTACTACTCAACCTGTGTAGTCCGTGTACTACTCAACCTGTGTAGTTCGTGTACTACTCAACCTGTGTAGTTCGTGTACTAATCAACCTGTGTAGTCCGTACATCTTTAGAACTAATAAAAATGTCTGTACTAATTAAAACTACTTAGGTTTATAATGTTGTGTGCTAGTATATGT